AATCAATATTGAATAGGAAGACAGAGCACATTAGATGACTCTGCAAAGATATCATAAGAACATGGCGTAGACAAATTGATAGCATGCACGTTGCTCTAGAATCTATGATGACTCGTGTTCGATGGATTATTTTATGTTAACAAATAATTATGTAAATCGAAGATATGTTGCCCGATGAGTTTTAAAATGAGGGAGTCGGATAAATGCCTCCAAGCTTAATTTATTTATTGCTTGGCTTTAAGATTGTTCAACGGACGGTGAGGACTTTCACTGTATCCCGTGCATTTTTGACTTTTGGTCCTAGATGATTACACAGGGACTCAACAGTCCCATGTAAATCATTTTGCAGCTGCAAAATTTGCTCTAAACACACAGTCCCGTGTACATCGCTTTTGAGCTGCAAACTATTTAGTTTGCATACGACGGTGTATCTTGCTTCCTTGCTCGGTAACTGGAGCGTCCTACTGAGAGCTTTGTTAAGACCATACCGAGTGAATTTTGATACTACGTTAAATGACTTTTTCGGTATTTTAAAATACTTAATTTTATTTTTTAAAAAGAGTATTGTATTTTGTCTCGCGTTTTCTATAATTTTCTATGATTTAAATTTTTATTAATATATTTATTTAAAGGATTTTTTATTTATAATTTAGTTTTGTGCAAGTTAAAATTTCTAGAATTAAATTGCTTACCGTTACACCGGCTACTATTACGTTATTATTTGTAGAATAATATGTGTATTTTTAATCAGCTTATTAGTATTATTTCGATAATACGTTTGTATTAATTAATCACGTATTTTTTGTATATAATTTATTGGATTAATTTTCTATTGTTACATATTGAATCTATCGTATTAGTATACTTGTAGCGTTTTTGTATAGATAATTATCCCATAATTATCTGATTCTTACAATGTAAGTAAATATATTTTTTATAACTTATTCTTGTTTAATGTATACAATTCGAGGTATTTTTCAAACTATTTCGTATCAATATTGTATTAGTGCTCAACTGTACGTTTTTAACTTGTAGTAATTATATCGGTATTAGTTAATTTCGTCTCCAAGTATTTATGTTAAATTATTTTAACCTAAACACCCTAACCCTAATTACAATTATAATATATTGTTTTTCGTTTTCCCTCTACTGCTTCATCATCCACGCCCCTCCTTCTTTCTCCCTCTCTCTCAACCCCGCGACACCTCACACCCAGCAACACGAAACCGCCGCCCTCGCCACAGACCTACCGAACCCCAAAAACCCCCTCGTTCGACGCCTTAGAGCGCCGCGTGGATCCGCGCACCCACACGCCAAAGCCAGCGCCACCTCCAACATCCGCCACCCTTCCATCTTCCATCCACCAACCTTCTCCGCCGCCCTGCTTCGCCGCGCCCGCCAACGTACCAGCAGCCACAACCGCAACCCAGCCTCTCCGGGCCCTCCAGCAGCACCCGCCTGTTCTCCTCCGACCAGCCTCCCTGTCCGCCGCCCCCAACGAGCTCTCGCCCGGCCATCATCATTCATCCCCTTGCCTCCTCCCCGACGCCTCGAGTTAGCGCCGCCACCCTGAGAACCACGCGCAAGCAAGCCAGACTCTGCTGCAACGTCCAGTCGCGACTTCCTCCCCTGAACCCCAACTCCATTCGCCACTCTATCATTTTGTCCCCTGACTCGCCCGTGCCTCACCAGCAGCCAGCCGCATTTCGCCCTCAGCCCAAAACCGCCGCCTCTCCGGTCCAGATTCCGACATGCCTATGTCGACGTTGAGTCGTTCGACAAACCCCGAGCAAGATCCCGATCCCTTGTTTAGTTTTCGTTGGCCGGTTTAATTTATTCGTAGATCATTATGTGGCAAGATTCCGCTCTCCTGTTCGATAGTTTGATTATTTACATTTTTTGATGAATTATTTGCATAGTTTAATTGTGTCCGGATTTATCTGCGCTGGGTTGTTGCCGTGAACAATATTGATTTGACATAATGGATATGTGATAAATGACATTTCAGAATAATTATAAGGAATTAAAAGAATTAGTTCCGCCAAAGAATCATTTTTGATGGATAATTATAATAAGCTTAAAAGATAATTTATTAATGGATTTATTTAGAGAATTTTATTAATATTTACAAAGAATTTGTTTTGATAAAAGAATTATTTAGATTTTGATTAATGAGATGATATTAAAGAAATATTCTTGAATTAATACACTGGAGATGTGATTTTCTGTGCTGCAAAATATTTGTTAAATGGTAGTCGTCATCTTTACTGTTAATTAGTAGTTTAACTTCGGTATGTTATCTATGCATGTGATCACCGAATTCCTGTTCACACTGTTTATGACATTACACTTAGGTAAACTGCATTTTTATTCCATGTTGCAGATTCATGACGAAGTACATGACGTAATTAGTGTACCGTGTATGCACATTAGGGCATCTAGATCTTCGGGTGTATGTGACTGAATTACTGAGAACTTGGGCATGAGAAGTCTGCGTCCATGTGATGGTTGGGCATTGTTGATGTATCATTCCGGGCTTCGCGCTGGTGAAGTTTGGGTAGTCACCGGGGTGTCTCTGAGGGAGTTTAGTGATATGGCTGATTTGTTGATGATTATTCCGGAGTCGCGGCTGGTTGAAGTGTGTAGGTCACCGGGGTGGTCGAGGGAGTTGTGATAGTGCATTGTTGATGTATATTCCAGGCCTCGCGCCGGTGAAGTTTAGTTGTACGTCACCGGGGTGGTACGCACCCGCGTCTGAGGAGCTGAGAGATATTATGATTGTGGATGTATTCAGAGCTCGCCGCCCTTGGTTAAGTTTGTGTAGTCACCGGGGCTGAGTCTGAGGAACCAGTGATATGAGATTGTCTTGATGATTGGATGAGTGATGAGATAGTTATTAACATGACCCGATTCTTGGCCTAAATAATGATTCTTGTGAGATGTAGGCCGGTTGTACTTCTTTCCTAACATAGATCGGTGTTAATATTTAATTATACAATTCGAGACCTATGGAGTATATACAATGAGGGTTTCCTTGTTTGGATATTTTCGCTCCGACGTTACTACGGTCTCGAGTTGCTAGACTTTTTTAAGTATTAATTTCATCGTATTGTATGACCTTGTTGCTTGGTGTTATTCTGGATTGCTAGCTGGCATTGATTTCGTTAACCCGATTGACGATTAGGCATCTTGAGGTTATAGTGTTTTTGTATGGGATTGGCATCGTTGATTTTGTATTGCGATTACCAGTTGTATGTCTCTTTCGTCGTTTTCGGTTTATCGTATTCGTTTTGTCGCATTGGATTCCGTTTGTCCTTATTTTCTTTTGGGGTCGGGTTCTTGCGTGCGTCATGCACCTGACGACCACGTTTTCTCTGCTGTGTACGGTCAACTTAAGAGAAGAACAGGTTCAGCAGGAGCAGATGATTCCTCAGCAGGAGTGTCTGGTAGACGGAGCAGAAGAAGCGAGTCGAAGGCTTTCCTTTGATGATTCCACTTTACTTTTGTAGTTTCTTTCCATTCCTGCCTGAGCGGTGTATTTGTTATCTCTTCAGTATTCATTTGTTCAGATTGTATAAAGGGCATGTTTACCCGTATATCTATGCTCGGATTGTTTATTTCATGTGAATGTATATTTTCACTCTCATTCGGTCCACCACTCTACACACACGTACGCAGATGATCACGTCGACCTTTTCTCCTCTCCACTGCCACATCTTTCGACATCCTCATTGTCAACTCATTCACCACACCCTGCTCGTCTTCTGAGTTTGTCTTATTATATTCTTTGCTGATCTGTGAACGGGACTGTGACTTCGTATTGCTTTTTATATTCCAGACCCTAAGGACGTATTAGATTGAGAAGAGGCCGGCTGTCGGAGCACTTATCTCTCCTCAGTCTAATACGTCGCGGACTTGTTCACGCTTTCCCGCTATCCCGTCTATTCTTGGAAGCGGGCAGTGACAGGTTTTGTGGGTGGCCATGCAGGTCCACGCGTCCCGCATTTCTACACTAGTAAATATAGTAGGATAATTTAAAACATACTGCATATTTCATCCGTGGAGACTATCTTGAGCCCATTATTCTCTTTTCTTGATAAGTTTCGTTTTCGTCCCTAATCTTACACGGTTGAACCCGGAACTTTCACTATTCTTGTTCTCGAACTTTCCATTGTGTCTTGTTCTGCTCCTCCTGCTTAATGGATATTGTTTTCCATATCTGTCACAGAGGGTTTTATTTTAATTCGAGGACGCGAATTGGTTTTTAAGGGGGTAGTAGAATGTAATGGACCGGGAATTATTGATGTACTAGTTAAAAATTTTTCCGGTTATTTTAAATATTTAATATTACTTTGTTTTAAAAAGAAGTATTTGTATTATTTCTCGTTTCTATAATTTTCTATGATGTTATAAAATTTGATTATATATTTAAATTAAAGCATTTTGTTATGTTATAAAATTATGGTATGCAGCTTAACATTCTTCTAGAATAAATTGTTTACTGCTTACCGCGGGGACTATTACGTATTATTTTAAATAATATGTTTTTATTTTTAATACTTATTAGTATATTTCGCTATAATACTTTTAATTAATCCACGTATTTTTGTTATAGATAATTTATTGTATTATATTCTATTGCTTACATATTATCTATCGTATTAGTATAACTTGTACGGTTTTACTGTATAGATCAATTATCCATAAGTTATCTGATATTTTAAATGTAAGGTAAATAATATTTTGTTTATTATTAATATATTCTTGTTTAATTATACAATATGGGTATTTTTCAACTTATTTCGCTATCAAAGTATTGTATTAGCTGCAACATGCTATCGTTTCTAATTGTAGATAATTATTATGAATTAGTTTAATATTTTACGTACTCAAAAGTATTTTATTTAATTATTTTAACCCTAAAACCCTAAACCCTAATTCAATTATATAGTATTCATATGTTTTCGTTTTCCCTCTACTGCTTCATCATCCACGCCCTCCTTCTTCTTCTCCCTCTCTGCTTTCAACCGCCGAACCACCACCTCCACACCCGACAACCGAAACCCCCGCCGCTCCCCACCCAGACCTTCCGACCACCGCCCTCGTCGACGCCTGAGCGCCCGCCGTGCGATCCGCCTGCCCACCGCCAAAGCCCAGCGCCACCTCCAAACAGCGCGCACCTCCCATCTTCACCACACCTCTCGCCGCACCTGTTCGCCGCCGCCGCCAACGCACCAGCACCACACAGCCGACCCAGCCCTTCTCCGCCTCCCAGCAGCACACGCTGTTTCCTCCTGCCGACCAGCCTCCCCTGTCCGCCCGCCCCCACGGAGCTCTCGCCGCCATCATCATCATCCCCCTTGCCTTCCTCCCCGACGCCTTCGAGCTAGCCGCGAAACCACCTGAGCCAACCACCGCAGCCAGCCGAGGCTCTCTGCACAGCGTCGGCCGACTTCCTCCCGCTGAACCAAACTCCATTCGCACTCTCAGACGCCCCGAGCTCGCCCGTGCACCAGCAGCAGCCATCGCGCCTCAGCCCAAACCGCCGCCTCTCCGCGTCGCATCCGGACATGCCCCTGTCGGACGTTTTGAGTCGTTCGGACGACCCCGAGCAAGACTCCCGATCCTTGTTTATTTCAGTTCGGTTCTTATATTTTATTAGTAGATCATTATGTGCAATCGCTCGTCCTGACTTTCTAGTTTTGATTATTTACCATTTTTTATGAATTATTTGCACCATAGTCTTAATTGTTCTGTATTTATCTGCGTGGGTTGTTTGCGTGAACCGATATTGATTACTGAATGGAGATGTGATAAATAGACATTTTCAGATAATTATAAGGAATTAAAAGAATTAGTTCGGCAAAGAATCATTTGCGATAATTTTTAATAAAGTTAAAAGAATTTAATTTAGTAATGGATTATTAGAGATGTATAATTTTAAAAAGAATTTGTTTTGAGAAAACAGAATTATTTTAGATTTTTATAATGAGCGAGATAATTTTAAAGAAATTATTCTTGGAATTAATAACTGAGTTTTGATTTTTCGTCGTCCAAAATATTTTTAATGGTAGTTTCTCTTGTACTGTTAATAGTGTTATTACTCTCGAGTTTCGTGCCATCGTGATCAAACGATTCCGTTTCACAACCTGTATGACATTGACACTTAGCGTAACTGCTTCTCATATTCCTATGTTGAGATTCATGAGAAGTACATGACTATAGTGACATGTATGAGCCACAGTTCAGGATCTAGAATCTCTTGTGTAGTTGACACCTGGTGGATTACGAAATTGGGATGAGAATCTTGGCCATGTTGAGTCGGTTGGGATTGTTGATGTATATTCCGCGGCTCGCCGCTGGTGAAGTTTGTCGTAGTCACCGGGGTGGGTCCGAGGAGGTGATATTATTGTTGATGTCATATTCCGGGCTCGCGCTTGGTTGAACGTTTGCTGGAGTACACCCGGCCCCGGGTGGGTCGAGGGTTGTGAGATGTGATTGTTGATTAATTCCCAGGCTCGCGCCGGTGAAGTTTGTGTAGTCACCGGGGTGGGTCTGAGGAGCTGAGATATTATGATTGTGGATGTATTCCAGGCTCGCGCCGGTGAAGTTTGTGTAGTCACCGGGGTGAGTCTGAGGAACAGTGATATTGAGATTGTTGATTATTTGAGATGAGTGATGAGATAGTTAGTTACATGACCTCGATTCTTGGCTAAGTATGATTCTTGTGAGATGTAGGCCGGTTGTACTTCTTTTCATACATAGATCGGGTTAATATTTAATTATTTACAATTCGAGACATATGGTATATACATGAGGGTTTCCTTGTTTGGATTATTTCGCTCGACGTACTACGTCTCTTGTTGTAGATTTTTAAGTATTAATTCCATCTAGTTGTATGACCTTGTGACTTGTACCAGTTGTATGTTCTTTCGTCGTTTCGGTTATCGTATCGTTTTTCGCATTGGATTTTCGTTCGTTCTATTTTCTTTGTGGGGTCGGGTCTTGCCGTGCGCTATGCACCTGACGTACACCTGTTTTCTCTGGTGTACGTCAGACTTAGAGGAAGAACAGGTTCAGCTTGGAGATGCGCCAAGCCAGAGGATTCTCAGCAGGAGTGTCTTGTAGACGGAGCAGAAGAAGGAGTCGAAGTCTATTCTTTGATGATTCCACTTTACTTTTGTAGTTCTTTCCATTCCTGCCTGATCGGTGTATTTTGTATCTCTTCAGTATTCATTTGTTCAGATTTGTATAAGGGCATGTTTGACCCGTATATTATGTCTCGGATGTTATTCATTGTGATATGTATATTTTCTGTTCTGAGTTTGTCTATTATATTCTTGCTGATTGTGATCGGGGACCTGTGACTTCGTATTGTTTTTATTTCCAGACGCTTAGCGTATTAGATTGAGAAGACGGGGTCTAGCACTTATCTCTCCTCAGTCTAATACGTCGCGGGCTTGTTCACGTTCCGGTTCCCGTGTATTTTGGGAAGCGGGGCGTGACAGAGCTTAAGGATAGACGATTCTCAGGGTAGCTTGAGAATAGAAGCGTGGGAGGAGTCGTCAAAGGCGACAAAAGTGGTCAAAAGCAAGGAAAAGGTGAAAATCAAGAAGCTGGCGAAGCAGCTCTGGCCGGTCGACCGATGAAGCTATGTCGGTCGACCGAACAACCATCCCGAGTTGACCGAAAACCTGCACCTATAGGGTCCAGAAACATGTGTTCTGGACGGTCGACCAACGCACTATGGTCGGTCGACCGATGAGCCTCGACCGGTCGACCGATTAATGTATGTCGGTCGACCGACGCACTATGGTCGGTCGACCGATGAGCCTCGACCGGTCGACCGATTAATGTATGTCGGTCGACCGATGGGGTTTTCCTAGGCCAATTTGGATTCTGTTTTGAGACAAATTCTAGTTGGGTTTGAGTTGGGTATTTACCACTTTGCCACCCACGTTGTTTAACCTATAAATAGGGATTGTTTAGGATTTTTAAACATCAGATTGATAGAAAAGAGATTCTAATCAAGAGATTAGGGTTTAGAGAGAATAAAGAGATTGTTCTTTATTCTAGAGAGATTGTGAGAGAGATCTTGTAATCTTCTATTCTTCGTAATCTAGAGAAGGTATTTTCCTTCGCTAATTGAATCGTCATGTGTGTTTTGTTGTTTTCTTCTCAAACCCACATTTGATAATTCGGCGATCAAAGGTGCTCGCACGGCGATTCGTATCATTAGTACCCACTTATTATACGGGATTACTAGTCTCGTGTAATTCAAAAACCTCTTTCAACAAAATCAACCGTTTTCTGCATAGACGTGCTAACATGGACAAAACAGAAGATCTTGCCAATCCACCGCCCCCCCCCCCCCCCCCCCCCCCCCCCCCCCCACCCGCCCCCCCCCAAATAGAATCCATTTTTGCCAATATTCTTTCGAAAGTTTCCGTTCTAAAACTTTGTGCTCCTTTAAACATCTTTCCACTTTTTCCCCCTTTTTTATGGACAGAGCGACGGATGACGCAACTTAATCATGAAAGAAATGATTTCCTCCTAAATAATGAATAAGGAACAAGAGGGGGACAATATAATAAGAGTTGTTCTACAGAGACCCCAAATCATGGGACCCAATGGGGGACAGACGAGGTGACAGGCGAGGTGTCAACCCCTGAGTGCATGATCTACTGTTCATGAACAGTAGATCATGCACCCAGGGGTTGACACCTCGCCTGTCCCCCTTGGATCCCATGATTTGGGGTCCCAAGGAATTTTTCATATAATAATGTTAGCCCTTTCCGTAGAAACACAGAACAGAAAAGAATCACTAATCTAAAACAAGGAACTAGCAATGGAAAATATACAACAGACTAAGCATAGATGTATAAACCAAAGTATCAACATTTTCCTTCTTCGAATCACAAACTCTCACCTTTATAATTGTGTATGTAAATATCATTTTCCTTCTTCGAATCACAAACTCTACCGCTTTGTACGTATGCTCTCCAACCACTTTGGAGCACTTGACCACATAGATATACTCCACAACAATTACCAAACCCCCGGTGTCTCACGGTTACAATTTTCTGGAACTTGACTCCACCATTAGCTGAACGAATCTGTACAGATTTTTTACTACCCTTTGAATTGTCAACGAAACGATGCCAAACTCATTACTCTCTCAATAATTCGCCAGCGTCAGATGAATAAAAAGGCACCACAAGATCGTATTGTTCTGCAAACTTCTCGTCATTCTTCGCCAGCATATCTCTCAAACTACAGTCAATACTTCTGCTTTTAAGCACCAGGAACCTGCATTTTATCTTCTTATTAAGAGAATAGCTGAAATACCTAGGATATTCCACAACTTCCTTAAGTGGCTTTTGCATGACCCCTGTCAAGAACTCGATCTTAGGTTTTAAAACCACATCAACACTATAGCCAAGCAAAGGAGAAAATTTGAAAACCATGGAGCATACGTCCATCTTGGAGAACCCAGTTTCTATTAGGTATCTCATCCTGCAAGCCACGAGAACACCTTTATTACCAAAATTGGCAAAAGCGAAGGAGTTAAAGCATGTAGACCACAATGGGAGAAAGATCCGCCATCCCTTTCTAAAGTCAGAACAATACTAAATCTAAAATTGTGTAGACAAAAGAATATGAACTCTCTATCATACAGTAGCTTTCTTGTGCCTAGAAAGCCAAAACAGCAAAAACATAAAACAAACCCATATAAACCCAGCAAAGCTTAACAAAATGACAGAGATTTTTCAAATTCACAGTAAACAAGCTCCAATACTTTAAAGCTAAACCACGTGAAAGTCGGCAGCCAAACGACCTGCATGCCTCGATGTCCAAAAGACCTGCCACTGGATTTAATAGCACGAAGTGGCTAGAAGATTGTATTGCTGTGGCCGTCAAGTGTAACAAATAAATGCCAGCTTTTGGCCAGAATTTTCTGCTTCCTATTAAAAATTGGAATTTTCGGGCATACAAACCTAATTACAAGTTTAACCCCATAAAATTTATTAAAGAATGAAGAAAGTCTACTTGGTGCACTAACGATCTTACCAAAAATCCTGTATTGGGAGCACCATGTTCTGCATTTGGGCACAAGAAGGTATATGATCCGATCTTTCCACAAAAAACTTGGCCTCATATGCAGAATAAGCAGGAAAGAGTCGTGCATGGAGTAAAGTAATATGACTAATTCCACATTTGAAACTAAAACTTCAAGGAAAATAACGTAAATGCTGTTTATTACAGAAACGTTAGAGGACTTCATAAGCATGACACTTTTTATACCTTGGACGTAAAGTTTGATGGATGTCTAACAGAAGAAGCTCGGGATACTTTCGAATAACACGAGGAAGTTGACCTCTCAAGATGCCAAAATCTGTGAGGAATTGTACTTTCCTTCTGAGAGTATTGTCGACATTAGCAGAAAATATCTCTGGGCAGCGACATAATATTCTCCCTATGGTTCTGCCATCAAAACCAATTTCTTTCATAAATGAAACCACCTACAAAGGAATGGGAGAAGTATCAGGAGACTACAACACAATTTAATAGTGTGCAGAGAGATATGCAAGACTGTCAAGCATCCAATACAGTTTAACATGTCAAAATCAATGTCTTTCTTAAATGAAACCACATACAACAAATGGAAAAACCAGAAGAATGTAACTCAATTTAATAGCGTGCGGAGATACAAGTTGGCAAAGCATCCAATACAGTTCGACATGTTAATCATCACTGAACCTCCTAAATTGGAAAGCATAGTTTCTCACTTCTGTTCTTAAATGATCAAATAAAAAACATACTTAGTCTTATGTATACAAAACCAATTTAGACTGCCTGATATTTTTGTAGGTATATAATGAAAAGACTGAAGGGAGTTTTTGTAACATTTCAAGGACCCATCAAAATTTCTCAATTTATCATAGAACACATGACGTCAAGCGACATTAAGTCAAATTTTGATACACGAAACTTTTTGCAGGTCTGCATCTATAAGAAATACAATGCAGGGTAGTTGCAAGGGACAAATCTACCTTATTGGTAACGTGTTTGAAAGCAAAACAGCTTTACAGCATAAACCTTACCATATATCTTCAAGCTTTCAGCAACTCCGGAAATCATATTAGAACTACCAATGCTATTTGTTTGTTAAGTATGCGGTGGCAGTACTTGTTATTTGCAAGAAAAATACCAACAACTGACAGTATAGAATTCCTCCATAAAGCGACAGTGATATTGGAGATATGACTCAAGGGAAAATTCTTATATATTTACAATTTTGTGAAGAAAAAAATAAAATAAGCTATAATCAGAAAGCACCTAACATATTTCTGTCAAAAGTTTACCCACCTCAAGCAACTCACTGGGCTTTTTCAGCAGTAACTGCGGGCTTGAAGTGATAACTGGGATGAGCATCTTTCCCTTAACTCCCAACGCATCAATCTGGTCCAAAATTGGTTCCATCTTGTGGGTTGCACACCCCAACAGATGGGGCCAACTTTTGATTGCAATGTCCATGCTAGATTTCGGAACCTAAAATGATTAATGCTGAGTTTAAAGACTGTACCAGAACCCAATATAGAAATATAACGTTAACAAGATGAGTATCAGAAGGACAAACACGTCCGGATAATACGAAAGAAAGACAATTTAGTTATCAAAAGAAGAAAGAATACTATAATACTAACTAAATAACCACACTCAATAGAGAACAGCTAGATTTAATTGTGATGATTGATTGATATGTGTAGACAGCGCTCGTGATGATATAAATAGCTCTCCACCCATTTCGAAATATAAATAACAAAATGGAAATCACAGACTAATGAACAGCAAGCATAAAGAAAAAATGTGAATAAAATCATGAAAGCAACAGACAGCAGACTAGGAAAAGAGATACCATTACACATGTATCAACTAGCCACATGATAGGTTTTGAATGGCCAAACATATCCACTGACAAACTCCAGTGTGCATACGATGATGTATCTGCTGTGTAATCTTTAGTTTCTTATGTAAATAAAAATGGACTTTCAGCCTAACCCTAAAAAAAGAATTCAACAAAGTTTTGGGGATTGAGAAAGTTATCAAATGACCACACAAATATAGTTTGATTATTCATATGCTCAATCCAAAATGACACTTAAGTTGATCATACCTTCTTATCATGAAAGAATTTAAGTATCTTATCGTAGTTGTCTTGAATGCTGCTTGAAAGGATCCATGGGTATTTGAACAGCATTCTGCCAATATCTCTGCTGTTCACACCTGCCTGAAGCAGCATATATGAGAAAAATGATGTGCCTGAAGAAAGCTCACAGAATTATCAAATAAACTACACTCCCTCCACTAAAGGAAGCAGAAAATGTATAATAAAGAAACCAATCATCAGAAAAAATAGCCAAAGGAGATTGAAGAAGCAAAAGCAATAATATTGATGAACAGGAACTTTATATTAATTTTAGGAAAAACAATTACTGTGCTTTCAGTTTTACAGTTTAGTTCTTAAGAATCCCAGAAACTAAGAAATAACCATTTTGAAGCTTTTAAGCCTGCCTTAATATGGTCCAAAATACTCAGAAAATTCGTAAATGGTACATATGAGTTTTCGCACACCATTGATGCCTTTGCTTTTTCTGCTGAGCGAAAGTACCCTTACATGTTTAACAATTCTCCAAGCACATGTGTGCTCGTGCGCACACACGCACACACTATAACTAAAGGGTTTACCACTGTAGAATGTATTTTCATTACTACTGTAGAATGTCTTCTCATTACTGTAGTGTGCCATTCTAATATTATATAAAGTACATAATAGTATACTGAAACAAAAAGGCAGTGTGGCTCAATTATACAATTGCCCAATTAAAAGGTGAACTCGGCTGATGGTCATGATTTCGATTCAGCACAATGTCATTCTTTTTTCCTTTCCAATTTATTAAATCCTCAAATCATTGAAAGTGCTATTAGGCCCTCCAATTCTTAAGTTATTTTGAATTTAATCTCTTCGATTAACAATCACAAAAAATCACTGAAACGTCCCTCAATCCCTAATTCAATGAAATTGGTCCCTCAAATCATTGAAATTGCTATTAGGTCCTCTAATTTTAAGTTATTTTGAAATTAATCCCTTCAATCGAGAGTAGAAATAGAAATTAGAGGGAAATTAATCTGTCAAATCCTTAATATTTATATTAGGTATTTACATTAGGTTACTAATACATTTAAATTTAGTCTCTCTAATTAATGTTTCTGCGCTTCATTGGAACGTCTGATTTCTAATAACATAATAACTAGGGAACATAATAGCAATTTTAATGACTTGAGGAACTAATTTCAGAATAATGTAGGAATTGAGGGACTTAATAATAATTTCAATGATTTGAAGGACTAATTTCAAAGTATGAAAGATTGAAGGAACTAATATTGAAAATAGGGAACATAATAGCAATTTTAATGATTTGAGGAACTAATTTTAGAATAATGTAGGAATTGAGGGACTTAATAATAATTTCAATGATTTGAAGGACTAATTTCAAAATATGAAAGATTGAAGGAACTAATATTGAAAATACCCTTTCTTTAAACCACTCACTTCAAAAGATTTTAACTATAAGCCCAAAAAGTTTTACCTCATTTGTTCTAAAGTCACTTTTTGAACCATCAAAATATCTCGCCTAAAGTTTTTACCCATGGAGTTATAAACTTACACAATAATCACTTTGTTATCCAATAAACTCAATAGTTGTTAACCCCCCAACCCCCCAACCCCCAACAAAAAAAATCGGTTTTTAAACTCAACTACTTCTAAAATTACTTTTACACCCAAAAAACTTCAATAAATTACTTTCGAACTCACTTTGTATGAAAGTTGCTATACTATTTGAGTTGCTATGTTTTGGTGTAATTTTGTAATATTTTTATGCTTACATATAACATTTAAACCATTGTCTTTTTTATAAAACTAATGTTACGGCTTTTTTGCCTACAAACCCAAAGTTTTCCTCTCATTTATCTGTGAAACTACCTGCCTTCAAACTAGGATTTTTGCCTATAAAATCCAAGGCTTCTACTACTATTTGTTCTTAAATCCATCACTTCCAAAATCACTCTTAGACCCAATATTTCAGTGAATTAGTTTTGAATACACTTTAATATTTCAACAGTATAATATGTAAGTTGTCTTTTGATGTAAATTTTAACTCATATGTTTAACTCGTTTCACACTAATGCTGCAGCAACGCATTAATTTTGTTCCATTTTTCTACGTTTCTCATGTTTAACACTAAGCTGATATGTCTGCTTTTTTTTAATGTGATGTTGTTATCATATATCAATATTATAGGACATACCAGAACATTTTTAGGATGCAACACTTCACATGGAGACACAAGAAATATTGCAGTTTCTTATTGCATGTAACGGATCTATATCTTATAGCTTGATGTTTTATGTCTTAAATGCGTAGATATTCTATAAAAGCAGCATGTCTGTCACGTAAATATCAATACGTTTGTTTGCTTCCATATTATCCGGTTTATGCGAAAAGGCTGGTTCCATGATTTCATGATAATTCATGTTTTCATATAGTAATGGTTGAAATATCCAAATGGAAAAAAGCGGTCATTATGAATTTTATTCTGAGAACTACTTATGTTCATACATTGAAAAAGGTATTATGAGATATTTGAAGTTTTTAACTCTTATGTGTTATAAGTCATGTAAAGTTACTCGGATGTGTAAGGACAAATATGTCGTACTACGTGCCATGCCACAACGAAACTTAAGGGTCATGCCCTGAAATGTCATTGACAATCTTAATCATGGATTTTACGTGACTCTTCCTAACACATGCAACTACTAGGATGTCTAACCACATCTATCAGAAAGTGAAACGCACAGTTACTTTAATATTATACTTAAATAAAGTATAAACAGTGCATGTATGTATTGAATGTGGGTACCTTTTCCAGGGCACATATTCTAGGTTTAATATCTTTGTCGACATCATAGAGAAGAATTGGAGGAAACAACAAAAATACAACCCTGGCACTTTCTTCAGGAACTCCAGTTTGTTCAAGAAAATGAACTAGTGGCTTAAAGTGATTTTCAACCGAAAGAAGAAGCAGTTCCCGAAATGATTCAATTAGATGGGAAAAGCAGGCATCTCCGTGACCCAAGATGTTCAGCCCTCCATGTTTTGCCTCCAGCTGTAACACAAAAGAAGTATGAACTGACTATGAATATGGAGTATAATGAATACAAAGAAAGAAAGAAGAGAAAAATGAAATCAAAATGTCTCACTTTTTCAAAAAACGATAAAGTTCTCTGAATATCATCATCAGAAGATATTGATAGATGCTTCATCATGCGTCGAGCATTTCTTCCGAGGAGTTCCTTATGGCTTCTGCTAGAAAATAACATATCCTTTAAAAATCTAACCTGCAAAGTCAAACTCGTTGATGAACTTTTTGAACTTTCATGTCATGGAGGAACTATTTGAAGTAGGAAGAAGTAATGTAGTAATGTGAAGGCAGAGATCAAAAGTGCACTCGTTAAAGGAAGATGATCATAATAGTACATATTTACATAGGATTGCTAATGGGACGAGATAGCCACTTATAAAATTCAGTTAGAGTATGATATCTTGCAACCCAGAGAGGAAAGGATTGCTGGTAGCGTAGAGATACATTTTAATGAAGGTGACATTAGATAAGTTATGTTGCATATGTAAGGATGTCTTGGGGCAGTTATCTTCTAAGAAACAACATACAGAGACTCACAATTGATATCTCAAATCATGCTTCACACAATCCTAACTTTAAGGTTGATTCTAGATTCAAAGCTCCAAATACTAGAAGGTTGAATTGTGCTTTTTTACCTTAGCGATGAGATCGGGAAGCCTCTGAGAAGAAAGAGACCTGGCAAGAAAAGCAGCAGAGGAGAGTTTGAGGCCAATACTCTCGAGAAAAGGGAGTAGGATCCCAGCATCTCCTTTGCTCTTGGCCATGTAGTAAATCTTTCTCTTAAACCCAACAACAGGATCTTCTTCTTCTCCTATCTTTTCAATCCCACCATCCCAACAGCTCCATAGAGAGTGCTCATCCAGCTCTCTAACATTATCAACGAGAGATTTGACGTACTTGGGCGAACTGGAGGCGATGTCGAAGGAATCCTCTTCTGAGACTCCGTACTCTTGCAGCATCTGGAACACTGCATCTCGAGCTTCTTCTTCTTGGGGTAAATCATTTTGGAGGGAGGAACAACAACGCATTCTTGGACGTTTGTCCAAGGGATTCTAGATAAAATAAAAAAGAGGGACATACTTGAGTGCAACAGTATTAAATCTATAGGCTAACAAAGCAAAAGAGCACAACTTTTCCAACAATGGATGTAATATTTAACAAAGAAGACAACAAAGCTTTCCTTTTATTTTCCTTAAGAGGCAAGGGTAGAACAACAAACACTCAAGCCTAAACTGCATTGTTAACACGAGCATTCATGTGATATTGACATAAGATGGTCATTGACTAGACTAGTAGTATGCTGAATAGAAGCCAGATCCTTCTAGATGCATATAGGGTACAAACTAGTCATTACTTACTGCTAGAAACCTAGCTTTTTATAAAGATAACGGCATGATCGCAGAGGGCACGCAAATAATCGAAGTCATTTTCTGCACAAGCTACAACAATCAAGCTCACCATTAAAGGTTAATCCTTGTCAACAAGTTACCTCCCTGTTGTCTCCAAGCACTTAAACTGGCACATGGATATTACTTCCTCGTAGAACTGTACTTGATCACGAGACTGAAGTAGAATGCATAATTAAGTAGTCTTAATCTTATATACATGGTTCTCCATGAAGGAAGGGTTACACATTGATCTAGATAGGCAGAAGATGGAAGCCATAGCTAAAAGGAAAACGAGAAAGATTTCACAAACTAAATTGAGCTAAGAAACCATCGAAGATATAGAGCAAGACACGTTGGTCACTCGTAGCCTAACTAACTAAGATATTACAGATGCTCCCTCTTTTTGAACAAAATAAAAAATAAAAAAATCACCGATGGCTAACTAAGATTGCAGAATTCCTGATTTGTGTCATTTCTAGCGAGTAAGAAACTACTGGTAGAACAAATACATTATCCCACTCAACGAAAAACCCCAAAAGTAATTCCACATAATTGGAAATGGAGTGCATTACAGGAAAAGAAAACACCGGCATTGCGGAAAACAAAGAGTAAACGCAAGCAGGCTTCCTCTGCTTCTTCGTCTTGGTCATCGCCAGGACAACCGAGAGGCCCTCACCTGCTGGCTGGATGCTTACGGTCTTCTTACTCGTCAATCCTAAAGTCACGCAGCATTACACAAAGCCCATAAATATGCTGAATTTGTAATGAAAGGTATAAACAAGAAATTGAGGCCCAAATTTTTATTTTTTATTTTTATTTTTATTTTACCAGAGTGCTTGAAGGAGTGAACAGCGCACAAGTTGCTCTTTTCCTTGCTGAACTGAACCTTGGCAGTGCTGCCCCCAAATTGCTTAACCAAAAAAGCATTGTTCTTCTTGGCAACCTCCCAAATTAAATCACCACAGACTGAAGCCATGTCTACATTAACAAAGGTCTCTTCTTCTTCTTTTTTTCTCGCGGAAAAAATTCTAAACCTTCAAAAGATACAAAGGACGATGTTAAAAAATTAAGACGATAAAGAAAATATCATAATAAGCGGGAGATTACAAATCCTAAATTTAATCGAATGCAACGGCGACGACGACGATAAAAAAAAAATCAGCGTCGGTAGATTCGATTGCCAAGGTTTTATAAATGGTGGCGGAGTTCTAGAAACCCCTGCACTCTCTTATTCGAACGCACAACACAAGATGAGAGAAGAGAAACCCTGATGACCGCGAGATGTTGTTTGGAAGCGAGATCCTCGTCGTCAGATCCGATCCGATCAGAACGAGTCGTGTGGGCTGCTATGTCGGAGACGCGGCGGCGGTTTTGTGAACTGGGGCCCTGAAACACGAGGGAACAGAAGCCCTAAACCTTCCGTTTTCGCGTTTATGGGCCTGCCTAGACTCTGGACTTTACTAAAACGGGCCTATACAATTAACTTTATACTAGTGGTGGCCCAGCCTACATTGACGTTGAACGCGGGGGGTGGGGGGGGGGGGGGGGGGGGGTGTTTAAAAAAGTTTTGCGATGAATGAAATTAATAAGCGCAAATTATATTTATGACCATAAAAAGAAAGTATATTCATGAAAAATAAATTTTAAAACATAAATAAATAGTTAAATAATCAACCAAATTGAATATGCATTTGGTTAAATTCTATTCATCTGTAAGATGAGTACTAAAAATCATTCGCTGAGTATTAAAAGAACTACGGATCGATCGAATACCTTGACGAATATTAACCTAACTGTTTATTAATTATTTGGTTCACTTTCCATCCATGCCCTTGACCCAACTTCTAAGATAAAAAAAAAAGCCTATTTACAACCGCTACCTTAGCAAAGAGAAAACATCTTTTTCCATCCCCAATCTATCCTCACCATGGACTTCCATCTCTCTTTTCTCTCATGTACTCATGAATAACTTTCCATCACTCTCATCCTTCTCCTTAACTTCTTAATTCTTTTTCTCATGAACCCATAAATAATTTCTCCTCCTCCTCCTCCTCAATCATTACCTCTTTCACCACCACCTCCTCCTCCTCAATAATTTCTCTTCCTCAACTATTGCGGCATTGCTCAAGGACTGTCTCTTTTAGCTAAAACGGTTATCCCCTAAAGTCACGTCAAAGTTAACACTTGACAATTACAGTTAACATCTAAACTTTACATTTAACACTTAACATTTGAAGTTAACATGTGAGGTCTAAATTTAACATAGGAATTCTAAAGTTAAACAACTAATAGTTATATATAACATTTGAGGTCTAAAGTTAAGACGTGATAAAGTGGATGCATAACAATTTCAAAGTTTTTATATTAAGTTCTAAAGTCAAATGTTTAATTTAGACTTCACATGTTAACTATAATCACTAGAAGTTAATTTTAGTTGTCACGTGTTAACTTTAATTGTTAGATAATAATTTTAAAACTTAGATGTTTACTCTAATTGTTAGAAATTGACCTATCTCTTATAAAGCCTCTCTAAAGCTCTCACCTTTCTCCTTAAGATCTCAGATCTGAAAACTCTTTAGCCTCCGCCAAAAAACCCTCTATTTTTCCTGGGCAGCCGAAAAACAAAGCCCTTGTATTTTCCCCTTTCTCTGCGTTTTTCCCCTGCGCAAAAAATCTAGCCGACATGTTCATATTTATAGTTGAGAACATGTGGGTGGGCCTTCTCTTGGTGTGCCTGCTTAGGTTCGTTCACGGTTACATTTTGTATATATATTTTTTTAACCCCTTGATTTAACGATCGAATACCCTTCTGCAATTTTAGCGATAATAATAAAGCTTCTGCGAATTGGTTCGGGTTTTTTTTTTTTTTTTTTTTTTTTTTTTTTTTTGGGGGGGGGTGGGTTTTTTTTTTTTTTTTTTTTTTTTTTTATGTTTGAAGAAACTGGATTCAAGCTGGGGACACTGCGATTGGAAATTAATATATACACGAGACGAGAAAGGTTTCGCTTCTTCATAATATGATATACGTCGTGAGTAAAAAAATGGGTTTCGTTTCTCCGTCAACCGAAGTTTGGCGAGGCTCCCTAGCTCTCTCGTGCGGCCCTCTCGCTTAGTTGGTTGTTTCCTTGCATTTCCTCGTCAATTAATTTGTTTGATCATCATGCGTCTTTTCTGGCTGTGATCGATCATCCTTTCTCATTTATGTTGGGTTAAACCGTAAATTGGACTATATATAGAAAGGCACGGCATATATATGGAAGGATGATCGATAAACTCTGTGTCTCATGATCTGTTAATTTATTCTTTAATTACTAGTTCGTGACTAAAATAAGTATACACTTGCATGCCTGTATATCATTCCGACGAAATACGTCAGCAAATTACATAAAAAAAGAAGAATTAATGATCTCTAATTCAGAACCGCGGTCCGCAGTCCTCGTTTATTTAGCACTCATGCACTTATTGAAAAATTCGCAGGGCGCCTCAGCTAGCGTTTCCGGTTCCGCTCGCTCTCAGCTAGCTGTCGATGGGGTGGAATGCGACCACCGAATGCCGGGCGATGTGCAAGCTGAACTGACCTCCTTTCTCCGTCACGTCCACCCTGTCCGCTCCCGCGGTGCTCATCTCGAACTGTCACCAGCTGGGCGATGACGAGCCCCAGTATCGGGAGTGCGTATTATCCCGGGCAGCTCCTCTTCCTCGCCGAACGGCAAGAACCTGAAGGCCACGTCCTTCCCTCCACAGACGCGTCCACCTTCGCCTCCTCCTCCGAGAACCTCTCCGGCCTGAACTCCTCCGGCCTGTCCACCACTCAGGGTTGTTCGCCAGCCACCAGGCTTCCACACCCGGACTCCCTGGGTATCGAGTACTCCCCGAGCTTTGCCTCCTCCAGGTTCATGTGGGGCACCAACAAGGGTATAGGCGTGTGGAGCCGCAGCGTCTCCTTCACTACCGCCTGAAGGTACGGGAGCTGGGCCAGGTTTGCCTCGGTTACAACCGGTCGTCCTTCGCGCCCCAGGACGTCGAAGACCTCCTGTCGGAGTTTGCCCTGGACCCTCGGATGGTTCACAAGTTCGGCGATGGCCCACTCCATGGACCATAACGTAGTCTCTATGGCCGCGACGTTGATGTTCTCCACTATGTAGAGGACGTTTTCGGAGCTGATCTCCCCGTTCTTCTCGGCTTCCAGGATGTGGTCTATGGCGCACCGGAGCTTTTGTCTGTCATCATTTGAGGCCATCACCTTCCTGTTATACATAAATTAAAACACAGGTATAGATGATTAGTTACACCTGCAGCCGGCCGGTAACAATTAAGATTTTTTTGATCAATTGGTTCTGATTAATTCTCTGGCGATTGATTAGTTTCTAATTTCGATCAATGTGAATTAAGGAATGATATATATATATGTACACCTTCTATGCTCGACGTAATGGCCGTTGAAGAAAGCCAGCCTCCTGCTCTGCAAATCCCTGCACTTGTTGAGGTAGCCCCTGAGGAAGGGTCTGAGGATGGGGATGAAGTCGCCGTAGTTGTAGTCGAAGCTCTGAGCCAAGCGGCTCCTCTCCGAGTTGAACTTGGTGGCCTGCTGAAACAAGGGATCGGACTGGGACTCAAACCTGGCATCGAACATCATACCATACATGATGTTGTAGAGCATGAGCTGCAGCCTCTTCCTGATGACCATTCCTTTCTCGGCCTGCTCAGGATCACCGAAGAGGTCCCTGACGACCAAGTCCATCTCCTGTTCCCACATGGGGCTGTACTGGTTGACAACCCTGTTGGTGAAGAAGGGGAGGGTCATGATGCGCCTCATCTTGCGCCAGTGATCGCCGTACACGGTGAAGACCATGTCCTGGCCGTTGCCGGTGAAGATGTCGAACACCACGTTTCGTGGCCTGGACCCAAACTCCACACCCTGGGTGTGCAGAACCTGGGTGGCCAGCTTGGGGTCGGAGACAACAACCAGGTTGCGGGAGCCGAGCTTGAGGAGGAACACGGGGCCGTGGGTGCGGGAGAGCTGGGCTAGGTAGCGGTGGTTGAGGTCATTGCCCACCTGCAGCCAGTTGCCGAACACCGGGAAGGAAATGGGGCCAGGTGGGGTGTTGGAATTGGAAATATTGGAGCCGTTGCTGCGTCGGAGGAGGAGGAGGAGGAGGGGGAGAGAAAACGCGAGGATGATCGCGATGACGAGGGAAGAAGTAGTAACGATGCTGGTAGCGTGAGGAGGAGGTAGGGAGGCGAAC